CGCACATTGTAGAACATTGTAGAACGACGCACACACTTGTCTCGAATCTCTCCAGCAGAAAAAGCATACGAAGTCGAGCATGCGAGAAAATGAGCGCTTCATGTTTGCTTTTAGGCTAACCATATTCAGAAGCATGGAGAGAGCATTGGAGAAAGCACAGGTCTGATAATCGCAACGTTCGTGGTTCGAGTCCAGTCAGCAATCTGATTCCTATTTTTTTCGACATAACTAATTTACCTCACTAATACACTCTACATTTTTCGGTCTCCAATTGTCTTGCATTGGACCGCAGCTAGGTATATCGCATCCTCGGTTCATGCGGTCTACACTTACATCCTCTGATGATGAATCCCACATAATTGTAAGCGAATCTTACATCCACCGGTTGGGTGCACGAGCCTGCAGTATCACAGGCAATGGCTAGTGTCGCTGCCACCCCCGTAGTTGTCCCTGACGAAAGTAGAATATCGGCTGATGAGGTGATAGCAGCGATTAAATCAACAAAGAACATGAAGGCCGCTGGTGTCGATGGAGTGGTCAACCTCGAGCTGAAAAACTTGAGTGTTGACTTCTTCAAGCACCTTGCAGTGGTCTTCAACAAGTGTTTAATGCTTGGCTACTTCCCTGCATGCTGGAAGTTAGCCAAAGTTATTCCAATTCACAAACCTGGCAAAGACCCTACCAGTGCCAAAAGCTATCGCCCCATCAGCCTCTTGTCCTCCATCTCGAAGCTATTCGAAAAATTGATACTCAGCCGTCTGCTGGTGTTTTCAAATGATAATAACATCTTTCTCAAAGAGCAATTCGGGTTTAGGAAAGGCCACTCTACCATCCACCAACTCGCACGGGTTACTAACATCATCAAGCGGAACAAGTCCGTTTCCAATACATCTGCCATGGCATTGTTGGACGTCGAGAAGGCGTTCGACAATGTCTGGCATGATGGTCTAGTGTACAAGCTGCATCGATACAACTTTCCGATCTACCTCGTGAAGATCATCAAAAACTACTTGTCGGGCAGATCATTCCAGGTCTACTTGAACAATGTCTCCTCTGATACGTTCAACGTTGATGCAGGGGTCCCTCAAGGTAGCCTGGTTGGGCCTATCCTATTCAACATTTCCACGTCAGACGTTCCTCCCCTGCCGGGTGGTGGTATCCTGTCTATGTTCGCAGATGACACCTCCATCATCTATAAGGGTCGAGTGATCCGTGCTCTGGCGAGTAAACTACAATCAGGCCTGGATGTTTTGTCCGACTATTTTAAGAGCTGGAAGATTTGTATCAATGCAGCTAAAACACAAACCATTCTGTTTCCACACTCGAATTCACCTCGGCTTGTTCCGCCTATCCATCTTGATAGCACTCCCATTGAATGGTCGAGTGAAGTAGTCTACCTTGGTCTCACCCTCGATAGCAAATTGCTATTCCGATCCCATGTGGACAAGACATCCACCAAGTGTAACATCTTGATCAGGTCGCTCTACCCTCTGATAAACAGGAAGTCCACCCTGTCCCTCAAAAACAAGCTTGCTGTCCACAAGCAAATCATTCTGCTGGCTATTGAGTATGGTATGCCAATCTGGGAGAGTTGTGCTAAGTGCCACCACTTAAAGCTTCAGAGGATCCAAAACAAGATCCTCAGAATGATCCTTAACAGTCCACCGCGAACTCGTAATTCTGAGATTCACCACCTGGCCGGTCTTCAAACACTCGAGGAGCGAAAGACTTGCACGCTGGAAAGGTTCAGAGTCGCCTGTCTGCGATAAAACCACCAGATCATGCGTGATTTGGCAACCTAGTATAAGTAGTTAGGTGCTCAAGTAGGTAGGTTATCAAATTTTTAAATTCAACCCAAAACAATCCCACAAAGGGTATCCTGTAAATTAGCGCTAAACGCAATCATCACATTAGAATAACCAATTAACTAGAACAAAGATGAAGAGCCAAAGGCTAACCAATTGAAATGTTAAATCAAATGTTGAAACATAAAACCCAGAAAATAAACGTAAATTTTACTACTACTACTGGTATCAGCTCATTTTCGCTTCGGATGGCGTGGTCAGCAATAGCAGCAGTAGGAAGGTGGTTAGTCCACTTTTCTATAACCTAACGAGCAACAATTGACTGGTCGTGGCAAAGGAGGTGCCAATCGTCACCGCAAATTCTTCGAGATAACCACCATCCGTCGTCTGGCTCACCGTGGCGGTGTATGACATATCTTCGGTCTGATCTACGAGGTGTGTTCAAGGAAGGTGTTCCTGGAAAATGAGGTCCGTGATACTGTCACCTACACTAAACACGCCAAGCGTAAGTGGCCATGATGTCCTCTTCAATAAAACGGCCCTTTTCAGGGCCATCAAGCTTACATTAGTAAAGAGTTGGAATAGAATTTATCTGTGCTTGTTTGTCCACATCTAGAACCACAAGCCCCCAACGACCACACAAACTTGGAAGTAGGGGTGCAATTGATTTTGATTGATTCTCGTAATCAACTTTCTCTTTGAAAAAGATTACTATAAATTTGGTACGCCTACAATTCAAAAACGGAAAGAGTTGAGATAATAGATATTTGATCAATTAAAAGAACTTAATGCTCTTCACATATTCTGTCCACTAGCGGTCCTACGTCAAGCTTCCGTTCGTGCCTGACTTTGCCTGACGAATAAACTTCTAATATTTAAACAAGTTTTTAGACCGGCCATGCTTTACGCTGTGCCAATATGGTCTTGTTGTTGTACTACCAGGAAAAAAGCACTTCAAAGGATTCAGAACAAAGTTCTGAAAATGATTTTGAAGTTGCCTCCCTGGTACAGTACTACCGAAGTACATAGAATTTCGAATTTTGAGACTTTAGAACAAATGTCCAACAAAATAATAAATAATTTCAGGCAAAAATCGTTGCAATCCTCAATTGCAACGATTAATTATCTTTATACTTAGATATTATTTAGTTTTAGTTTTTAGTTTTAAGATATCAATTGTTATACTGACATGCAGGTTTAAAAAACCTGTTTAAAATACTGAATTTCCAAGACAGGAACAATGTAAAAACACTTAGCTATATATCATAACAATTAAGGCTGGTAAGTTACTGTAGTAACTGGAGCACCTAGGTTAAAATGAAATGTAATTTATTTTGAATTTGGAACAAATAAAGAGTAAAAAAAAAGCATAAAACAGGGCAAAAAGATAGTCGTTCGGCACAGTACCGGCACAATGCGGCACATTATAAACAGCGTTAATACAAAAGCAGATGTGTTTTAAAAATCTCTATAATAAAGAAAAAAAAAAAAAAAAAAGATGTGCCGAGTGACTGACCCCTTGATTTGTACGCTAAATTAAATTTTCACCGATGAAATATTTTACGCCACACAATTTTTTAAACTACAGGTCCCTCGATGATCCTTCGGAATAAAATTTTAGACACATTTTCACTTTTTATAAAAGTCGCCTTCAAACATAGACCATGCACCATTATTGCCCAACTGATAAATAGAAAAACCTAAAAAAATGCAACATTCTCATTCAAACTAAATAAGCCAGCTGCCATCCCGCTCCTGGAAGCCCCGTTTGCTAGAAACCTCCGGTTTAATTTCATTTCCCGTCTGCCAACTTGGATCGCTTCGGCAGAACCCTTTCCCTTCTGCAAACGCCAATTCAGAAAGACTCAATTTATTCTACTTCAAAGCCCTTCCTCCTTGATAGGTTATTTTCCCACATGCGAACCACCCAATCAATGTAGTTCGTCCCCGTTTGATCGTACGGAACCCAACAGCAGCAGCAGCAGCTGTCACACCTCATCATCATCGTTGTGAGTGGAACCGCGCAACACCGCCACATTGGCTGTCCTTTATGGGAAATCGATCCGTGACCACGGTCCAGCAAATTGGCAGTTTTGACATACAACTTAATATTATACAATCAATCTCGCGCGCACCGCCCGCACTTCTGGAATTCCAAATGTTGCCTCCATTGAAAACAATGAGGCGCGCGATCATTACTGCGGGATCTGGGAGCAGCTGTCGATCACGGCCGAGAATGATCGCCATCGCATTTCATTTTCAGCTGGCCGAACTAAGTAGGCCTCCGCCAGAAGAAGACTTTCACTTTGCGAGGGGTCCAGCTGTGCACACTATCGCTTGCTTTGCTATAGGATCGATACCGGTCGTGGGCTCTTCCGGGAGTGGATTCGTATCGATCTATCTCTTAATCAAGTGATGACGCTGAAAGGTGGAACACAACTCTGCGACAGCGCACCAGAACTTGAGTGTGAGTGAGCGATGATCCGCTATGATAGGTACCCTAGCCGGGTATCGTTGACTAGAACATGAGTTGTAATTTGTTCCCTGCCAAGACAGTCGAACATGACAACGAACAGACGGAACCCACGGCGAGTGAGAGAACGAGACCTCATCATCGGATAGATCTCGCCTGTGTGCCTCCCGGGGAGTCAACTCTAATTGTGTTTTCGTTTTCGAAATCGACTCGATAATTGAGAGTGCGGTGGAGCACCGAGCTGGAAGAAAAAGTAATAAATATGTTGCCCGGTGCCCGTTCCGTGTAGCGAAAGGATTTCAAACCATTTTACGATCCCTGCTGTGACGGGGGGTTCAAATAGATACACACGCCCGATGCGATGGATCGCACTCTTGATCTCGCCCCATCCAAGTGAGCTAGATTGGATTTGAACGTTCGTTCGCTCGCTCGTTCGCTCGCTCCCTGGCCGTCATAACCAACATTGATTGCGATGGTTGTGGCTGGCAAACCCTTGTTTGACCTCATTTACGGCGTCATCGATTTCGATTGGGTCAAATTCAATTTACACGTTCGGATCGTTCTCCGGGGAACGATTCCCAAGTCCCAGAAGGTGACTTGTCTTGCCCTTTTCGACACTGTCCCAGTTTCACGAAGCCTTCGCTCCGCGCGATACCAAATATAGAACCAAACTTCAGCGTCAATGACGACAGCAAATGCGAATGTAGGGTACAGGTACTTACCGTTAGAGCAGGGTGAAGAATCGCATGGCATCCGAAGGAACTCGCAATGCTTGCCAGCTCGGCCCGGCGGACAATGGCAGTAGTAACCGCCGGGAGTGTTCAGACAGCGTCCTTCGATGCACGGTGACGAAGTGCAGTGGTCTTTCGCTTCCTGAAAGTGGATAAAAAGCAGAACAAAAAAAATCAACACTCGATCAAAATTTCTCACTTTTGCGCCCGCTTTGATCCCATTCGTCCCGAACCGTATCGCTGACAATCACCCGCATGACAGGGCCTACTTCGACCAGCCTCAATTAAAACCAAATCTGACGCGCCCGAAGCGGATTGCCGGATTTCCCAGCCTGCTTAAACATGACTGCGCTTCATATTTTGACACCTCGGTTCGTTCGAAAACCAAACAAGAAAGAAAGTTGTCCGAATCCGACCACCACCACCAACAACAAGTGTCACAACGCTTGTTCTCACGCTTTACGACACGACTGTCGCTGACGAGCGGAGGTCCCTGCATCGAACGACGGGTCTAATCTTATTAGCGCTGCCCGTCGTCATCAGAACCCCACAATTCAACCTCGAAAAATATGACGTAAAATTTTTCGATTCAATAGCTTTATCAATCGCGCCAAGTTGACATGCGCGATAAAATGGACCTGCGACCGTCACGACGACGACCGGCAGCCGGACGGCTTCCGAGCTTTCCTAAGCCGAGAGCAAGACGTGACATTGTTATGATAATGCTCATAATCCTCGTCGCTCGCTTCTAGGAATTCACGCAGTTGTCAGTCAGTCGGCGATCCCAACTTCTTAATCGCCGAACCGCAGCAAGCGCGGAGAAACGGAAAGTCCGTTACTAATGCGACAGTCCCGCGCATAACATTATGAGACCTGTACCGTACGAGAGGGCTAATATTGGGAAACGCTGATGATGATAGCAAAACAAAAGCTAGTCCGGCGGGACAACGGCAGCGAAATAATTAACATAAAAATTTAATTTACCTTTAGCTATACTTTTCTATCCACATGGGGGAGCAGGGGGGAGAAATGGGAACTAAGTAGGCGCCCCCGTCGAACCAGTGATTCCTCGACGGGTGGGGGTTGCTGGCAGTAGGCGGCGAATAGTCAACGAGCATATTAGAGAAAATGGAGAAAACAGCCTACTAATCCGGTTGTCGGACAGCTCCTTCGGTCATATCGTAAATTTTGGGCGAAATGTTGCTTCCCCTCTTTATTTTTTTGTCTGAGAGTTGAGAGAGTGATAAATAGTGAGCTTTTGAGAGTGGATGCATCCCGGACTGAGTGGGGTGACGAAATTTGACACTGGCGAAATTTGTTTACCCGATGCTTGAGCAAAGCTAGTGGGCTTGGAGGAATTAGAAAGGCTTTGGTCAGCAGACTGATGGATGGGGAATAATCAATGGCGATTGTCACCGACCGACGGTGAGTCAGACGGCAGAGAGCTATTTTGGGAACTCAACCATGGCCATGTTGAAGAGGAACTGGTCGGGAAATTGCACGGCAAACATAATAACAGCGTCGGAAAAAGGATGTCACAGCGGAGCCCATAAATTATGACTAATTAATGGGACCCGGGGAGAAAGGCCGCCCTGTGTCATTGCCATTCTCCCGAGGAGGTGGGATCACTTTCAGCGAGGTCGTCGAAATGAGATTAAATCTTTCGACCCCGCAGAACCGACACTTGGAAAGAGGAAGCAGCAGACGCGGAGTCATTTAATTTTTTCGGCAATCAGAACAACGAAGGTGAAAGGAACCTGTGCATCAAAGCAAGCCTGGATTGTTGTTCTTTGTCCGAGATTGCGCAGATTGCTCCGTTTCCAAGGAGAGAAAATCTCATGAATATAAATATCAGTTTAAACGTGCGAAAGCCACAAGGATTTGTCTGTACCAACCTGCAAGCGCACAAGTTTGTGTGCTTGCAGCAGCGAAAAAAAAAGAGAGGTTATGAGCCGGGATATTAATTCGCATTTAGAGAAAAATAAACAGGAAAACCAGTTTGGCTTTGCACTCATTTCACCTGTGACCAGTCGTCAGTCAGTTGTTGGTGGAGTTACCGGGGCAACGCAAAGCAGGCCGTCGTGGATGGACAAACGGACAAACTTAACTGACGGTTGCTGCTGCAGCGGTAGTAAAAGGCACTTAACATGAGGGCGCTGCTGCTGCTGCTGCCGTTTTGTGTGGAAGCCAGGTCCGAGTGCCGAGTATGCATGCAGAGTTCAAACCATTTGAAATGTTGACTGGAGTGACGTTTCAAGATTTAATATATTGTTCGCATTTTTATCATCTTTCGCGGGGCTCGAGGGGAACGGCACTTGTTTTGCGCCGTGTAATGCAACGCGAGAACTCGACACTGTGCACATGTTTTGCACCGCAATCAGAACCTGCTACGATGAGAACTGCAGTTGCGTGTGGGGATTAGTACATATCGAGTTGTTGTAGTTAAGAATTTATTCGTTTGAACTTTTGGTCACCGGTGGCCATGTTTGGCCTACATTCCACGAGGAATGTGAAACCCAATCGAACGGGGATCATTGTCAAATTATGCTGGGTGATAAATCACCCCCAAACCGAAGCGGAGGAGACACTTTCGAATGAGCGACGCCCACGCCATCGTGATGAAAGAAGATGCAGCAAGATCATAGTCGTTAGATGGGATCAAGACGAGAGACGATGGCCTACAAAAGCTGTTGGCTCTGTCACCGGAACAAAACGCCCTCGCAAGTCGGGTTTTTCTTTGTCAAGCAGTCGTCGATCGTTGCGGTCTTCCAGGGCCTCCTGAGATGAGTGATGTCGGGTGTTTCGTTATATGAGCGGAGCCGCTTTCTGACCAAGCCACGTTTTTGCATGATAATAAGCGCTATAATTGCGTGATTTTTATTTTTCCGCCGCGTTTTGCTTTATGCTAAACGGGATGCAGCCAACAAAAGAGCGCGGCAGTTTTGAAATAGGTGACAAATAGGTGTCACTTTGTATTCGCGCCTTTCCGGACCGGCGCGGGCGGCGGGCGTGAGTGAATGATGACAACGCGGCCATCCGTCGTCGGCAGATGCGGAACAAACGAATCGACTGCCGACGACGGTGTGAAAAGTTATCACAAAATGGCTATGGGCGGGTATGAGAGAGCGAGAAAGGATATATTGATTGCCATTAAAAACATATACACACTTAGAAATACCTAATTTTCCACGTGACGGAATCCACCTTTGACATAAAGGATGAGACGTAAATAAACATGTCACGTAAAATTAAGTGCTGCGAGACTGAAAAGTTCGTTACTCGACCAAAAGTATGTTTGATTGAGCTGAATTTCGCGTCTATTATGACTCAATTTTATGTCAACATTGACGCTCGTATATGTCAGTCTAAGAGCACCTAAATTTATATGAATTTCTCTAAGTGTGTAGCTTTGCCTCAGAAAGCGATGGATTTGAATCTGCAGGAGGGTTTCAGGAATTCATTTTAGAGTAATTATAGAACACTTTAACGGAAGAAGCACCGGCAGTAGGAAGACCAAGTCATTTATTGTCAGCTTCCTGGCGAATGAATGTCTGGCGCTCGTCTGCGAGAAGAAGACGGCCAAAGACATGTGGAAGGCGCTCGAGAACACCTTTGCGAAGCGGTTAATTAGCACTCAAAACCTGGTGAGAAGCAGTTGAATCGTCTGAAGTTGAGAGATGGTGATTCGATGAGAGCGCACTTGCTGGTGTTCGAAGACTTGATCCGGCAGCTGAAAACCGCTGGGCCGCAGGTCGAGGAAGCTGATTTGGTCATTTCAGTGTTCCAGACTCTACCGAATGCGTATGATCCCTTGGTGACGGCCTTGGAAAATATTCCTGAGGAAGAGTTGAGTTTGGAGATCGTGAAACAACGCTTATTGGCGCAAGAGCTGAAAAGAACCGAACGTCATGAAGACTCAGGTGAGATCAAGGCTGCGGCATTTTCTGGAGAGAAGAAACGCAAGTCTACGAAGTTCCAAGGCAAGTGTCACAATTGTGGAAAACGTGACCATTTATTTATTTATTTATTTCTACTTGTCAACAGATAAAATAGTTACCCTAATGACAATTTTCTATATCTAAACATCAAAACTGTTTCAAACACAAAATTAACGCAAACATCTCTTAAAGCTACGCTTATTTTTCTCGCGGGACACATTAAAATCGAACACATAATAACAACTATTGAAAACGCGGCACATACTCAACATTGGTTCGTGTACGCCATAGTTGGTCCTCGAACGCCGGTTGTTGAAGAACGCATGCAGCCGGAAGTCCCGTCGTTGAGTGTTGATGTCAAGAAGACTGAGAAGTGTGGAGCAGTCGACGTTCCCTTGCAGAAGATCCGCAACGAAACAGGCCTTCGCCACATTACGCCTTCCTTCCAAGAGCTCCAGGTCGATGAGGTTACAGCGACTTTCATAGCTCGGCAAGTTACGCGGGTCGCGCCAACGAAGGTGTCGCAACGCAAAGCGAATAAATTTTCGCTGAACAGCTTCAATTCTGTGGATGGCATTCTGATAGAATGGTGACCAAACAACGGCAGAGTATTCCAGTATAGGTCGAACCAGGGAACAGTATAAAGCCTTCAGGCAATACACGTCCTTGAAGCTTTTGGCGAAACGGAATAAAAATCCTAGCTGCGATGAAGCTTTAGATACAACATAAGCAATGTGATCCTTGAACGTTAATTTGCAATCGAGCATGACTCCCAAGTCCTTGACAGTCGATTCGTGTTTCAAGCTTATTCCTCTTAAGGTGTAATCGTGGAAATGCATCGCCCGTTTACGGCCAAAGGAGATGACCGAGCACTTGGACACATTTAAAGACATCCTGTTTATCCGGCACCAATCATCAAAGACTTCAAGTTCTTGGTGGAGGAAATGAGCGTCTTGAGGCCCTTTTATTACGTAGTAGAGCTTCATGTCGTCGGCGTATGAGAGTTTAAGGCATTTGAGGATCAAGTTCACGTCGTTCATATACAACAGGAAAAGCAATGGCCCCAGGTGGCTGCCTTGAGGAACACCAGATGTAACAATGAAGGGTGGAGAAGCGTAGTCACCGATCTTAACAGACATAGATCTGCCAGTCAGATAGGAGCGAAGCCAGGTAAGTAGACTCCCATGAACACCCATTTTGTCAT